TGTCTTGCCGGATGTTCAATTCGCTCCATGTACTTTGTGATTTTGGGAAAGCGTCCATGTGCTTTGCAATGTGGGATTAAATGATTTTTTGCATTCAATTACTTTTCGAAAGGCCTCTGTATACTTTGCAATTTGCCGTTGACTAAATTTTTTGCATTGAATGATTTCTGGAAACAAGATATACTTGTTTGGATGGATATGTGTCTTCTCCACACGAGGACTTGATGACAGTTTCATCCGGGGATATACAAATGACAAGCCAATGTCCATATTAAATCATCGCACTGTTGAAGTGCGCGCCTGCTTCTCCATCAAAATGCGAGTTCAATCGCACTTCTGGTGTGAATCCTGAGCAATCCCCTCGCACTTTGCTTGACGTCAAGGAGGGGATCGAACGCCCCGCCGGTAAGCACCTGCACATTACGAAACAAGAGCACGTCCCAATTGGAACATCGTCGGGTTCTTGCGGTGTCGACTCCCACATGAAGACTACACTGAACAGCGGCAGGATGACCGGTCCACCTCTCCGATATGGATCTAACGGTGGATTGCGTCAAATCTGCTCTCATAGATCCACACCGGGGATGGGGGCCGGGATCCAACCACAGTTCGCTTGTAAAGCATCATGTGATGTTTCAACATAACCGACATCCAGAACTGCTTCGTGAGCATCTAGTGCTACACCAATAAGTTCCAAACATGGCCACAAAGTCCCCTAAGAGTGTTCATTGTCGGTTCCTCACGTTGTCGATTCCCACGTGATGAGTACAGTAAACAGCGGCATGATGGCAGGTCCCCCTCCCTGGAATGGATCTAAGGGTGGATTGCGTCAAATCTGCTCTCAAATATCTACTCCGAGTAGAAGGTCCTGCAATCAGTCACTGCTTGCTTGTAAGCATGATATGATGTGTCCATACAATCGACATCCAAAACTGTTTGATGAGCATCTAGTGCTATGCCAATAAGTTCTGAACACGACCGCAAGGTCCCCTAAGAATGTTTTTGGCACTAGAGTCCTCTGACCGCCGACTGCTTGGCACTTCCTGAAGGTGGTCATTTCTACCGATGCAGAAGGTTCGTGATCACTTGCATTGCTTGCATACGTGCCATTGGGTGCTCGGTGTTGCATACATGTAGTAATGTTGGCCCCCGCTGGATACTTTGCCGTCTCGGATGCATTCCACAGAAGGACCTCACACGCTGCGGACATGCAAATTCCCTGGGAGTGCTAATGGCAATCCGCGGCGACAATTGATGACGTGCGGAAAACAAATACACAGCCATCACCAACGACTGCTTGACACTTCTTGAAGGTGGTCTGGCACTTCTTAAATGTGGTCAGTCACCAAACAGATCACGACCTAACATCAACCTCGCGCTAACGTCCCCGTCAGAGTGCAAATGGCAATCCGGGAAGACGGCCAATGAGTGTTTGACCACTTCCTTAAGGTGCTCTGTCGAACACCGATAACTGCGAATTGACTCGCTGTTCAACTAGAGTCTCTCTCTCTCTCTCTCTCTCTCTCTCTCTCTCTCTCTCTCTCTCTCTCTCTCTCTCTCTCTCTCTCTCTCT